GAAATTGCTTGAAAGAGCTAGGGGCAATGGAGATCCTAATTGGAAACAAAAGATTTGAAAATTCATGCATGAGGTGACTTTTAATTTATTGAGATTGAAATGTGTACGAATAAGGAGCTTCTATTGGGATTTAGTTTTTGGAGTTTAAAAATTAGAGTCATTGTTAAACTAATTACTCCTATTCAGGAGAGTTTAAGTTTTTTAACTCCTATTTTGAGATATGACATCTCTTTTACTCCTATTTTGGTCCATCTCCCTTTATTAAAACGGTCTGGGCCGGAATGGGTTTTTGAAATTTTAAAATTGAAACCGGACCTAACCCGGCTTGTTTGAAACGGGCCGATTCCACGGATCCTAATCTATCATGATACTAACATTCTCCAAAACAAATAGAAATTATATGTTTCAAAAAAAATAGAAATTATAGAATAATGCCTTCAAAGGGTATTTGGATGATGGATTATGAGGAATTGAGATGTGAATAATTACAGGCCACACGTCCACATACAAAACTGACATAGAGGGATAAATGAAAAATAAAACAATTGCATAAATGAAACACATCCACATATATAAAACACATCCACATAATTGCAGGCCACACGTCCTGGAAGGACCGAAAGATTGAAGGGCTTATGTGAGTATATCCGTATATTTACTAAAAATAATATTAAAAATAATATTGAGATTTAGAATAACGGTTCGGTCCAGGTCCAATACAATTTCAAAATGAGAAACAGGACCGACCCTAAAAGCTATAAGGACCGGACCGACCCAGACCGTTTTAAATTTTTGAAAAGACGATTCAGACCTAACTCAGACCGAACCTGGCGGACCGGTTCCGACTCACGGTTTCTAGACTCGATTGCCCACCCCTACCTAAAACTACAAAAAAGGTTGGGCTGATTAAAAGAAAGGATGTCCCAGTCCAAAAAAGTCCCCACATTTCCTATCCGGCCCGTTAAAGCCCAATTTCTTGCTCTCATTCCCCTCGTTCGAATTCCCGACTACCGGTTTCCCCGATTCCCCTTTCCCGTAGCGACTCCAGGTCTCCGGCGAGCAAGTCAGGCACATTCCCCCGCAGACAGCGTCTCCGCCACAGGCCTCATCCCTCAGCTCCGCCCTCCAGTCTAGCATCAGGCCGGCAGCGGCGCCGCGGCATCCCCTCCCTCCAGGTAATGTAAATCTTCTATTCTTCGTATCTTCTTGTTCTTAATGACCTTATAGTCGAAGTTTATTTTCCCACGTTGTAGATTACTTTTGCCCTAAATATTGTTATGTGAAATTATATTAGTATGAATTGGGGAATGAAATTGTTATTTTCATTGTTTTTTTTTTTCCTAAAAATGATATTAATGTGAATTATGGATGAAATTGTTAAGTGAAACAATTTAAAATTAAGAGAATATAATCTGAGTACCAAATCTGGAGCTAAACCCATTATTCTGAACAAAGTTACAAAACCACTTTAATCCCTTCATCCCCAAATTGTGGTAAGGGTATACTATAAAATTGACTAGATTTTGTTGTATTAGGCAGCAATTGTTCACTTAGGCCCCCGAAATGGATCTTATAAGTATGAAAAACCACCAATTGTTGGTTTTTAAATCTTTTAAACCCTTGAATTTTATATGCAGAACACGATGCCCCATTAACAGTAATATATCACAAAGCAAACCGGACATTCAAGCATTAGACCTGAGGGTCATTTGGTTACAATTCACGTATCTATCAGGTTGGAATCAAGAGTTTTGGTCCAAATGAACTGAGGGTCATTTGGTATGATAGATTGATAATAATGTTCGTGGCCACGTTTGGTAATGTAAATGCATTTCAATTCATATTTCAGGAATAAAAAGATGAAACTCCTATTTTGGTATATTTTCAATGTTTTTCTCTTACTTTATTCTTTTTCCTTTATAAAACATGTAACCTTTATGGAATGCAGTGAAGTCGATTGGAGTTACAAAACATTGCATGAAAGAATCAAACTGAACAAGAAATATACTGCAACAAAGATAGTATAAAATTTTGAATTTATAGTAGACGGAATAAATTTTAACTAATTTTTATGTTTTAGAAAGTACAAAACCATGAATGAGAGAATTTGATTCTATGATAGAATGATTTGAATATGCTTGTAACAAAAATTTCCTACTCAAGAAAAGTGGATCAATACCATTTCAAATTTTTTTAGAAATGTGAAAAATGAAATACTGTTTAGAATTGTGGAGTGCTCATATTAGCTCTCTAATTATAATTCACATTAACATTTTACATGATTTTATAATGCTATAGATTTTCAAATGACACAATAATTTGATAATATTTTCAAAATGTTTAAAGTTAATAAGTGAAACTCTTATTTAAGAAACGACTCCAACATGTTGAATGTATGTAGTTAAACACGTTATGAGAGCTTATTTATGATATGGGTTCAATATTTTGAATGTACGCCCTTACATACATGTGGTAATCCTCACAAAGCTCGATGAGAGAAGATATGGAAATGGAAGACTTTTTTACACTTTTAACATTTTTTTATCTTCGTGTCAAATCAAACCGGAAAATAAATTTTTAGACGATGAAGTACAATAGTATTGGATTTGAAAGTAAATTAGCCCAATTTTAGACTAAATTAAATAATTTAAAAGATAATTAAGAATAAATTTAAAATTTTAAAAGCATTATTGGTCTTGTTAGAAAGAATGTTGAGTGGTACAATTGTTATCCAATAATTTTTTGTATATAAAAAGTTACAAGTAAAACTAACAAGGCAGAGGAAAAAAAAGGAAACAATGGCTACTTTGCCACTTTTAGATTGTTTGGATACTGACAATGAGCAATAGGCCACTAAATTCACACGTGTAAGAGTTAAATGTATAATAAATTCCCACGGAGGGAATTTCTCCTTGGATAAAGTTATTTGTATCCAAATTTTTGTACCTCACTTTGTATTCTGCAGGTTTGCACCAACGTTTTGTGTTGGTATAAAACTAATTTTTGTTAATGCACAACCCTTTGTGTTTATGTAAATTTTTGTTAAAGCACCAACACTTATGTCAGTGTAAAACATCAAAATATTTGTGTATAATTGTGTGTATAAATGGGATATAATTTGTGATGTAAATGTAGCCAGAGGCGAATCCATGAATTGGGAGTCAAGGGGTCCCGATTCTTTAGTTATGATTACATATGTTACTATCCATAACTCATACCTTAAATAAAATAAAAAATTTAGTATTTAAATGTATATTCAAAATATGCTTACAAATTGATTTTTCAAACGCAATAATTCTTTCCAATTCAATTTTTTTTAAAGATAAGGAGTAATATTCAAAAATTTAGCATTCAATCATTCAAAAAAATTAATATTTGAAAAAACATTCAAAATAAAAAATACTAGTGTAATGCTACCGAAAGTTTTTTTCACAAAACACATTTTATATAATAAATTTTGTATAATTCTACAATAAAATTTATGTTCAGTTTATAATCAGAGTTCAAACGGAATAAATGGTATGTATTTACTTTGTCCTTAAAATAATTTTTGTTCATTTATATTTTGCGTATTTTAGGAAAATAAATACTCCATATTATTATGGTTAAACTTTATGAAATAAAGAGTGAAATTAGAAAGAATAATTTAATTGTGATATCTCTCATTAAAAAATAAAATTCAATTGATATATACATAAGGTACTAATTTTTTGTAAACTTTAATTTATAAAAAGTAAATATTGATAATATTTATGCTGGAATTTTGTAAAGAAAATTGTGTCTTTTATTTTTATATAATAAAATATGGAGTACTAATTTAAGCCTACCGCATGCATCTTTAAAAAATAAAATTCAATTGATTTTTTTTAGGAAATGCAAAAAGAGTATGGTGAAGTAATAATTCAAGTTATAGAGTCAAAAAGATTGACCCCGAGAGGGTGAGAATCGAACTCACAATCTTAGATCTAAGTATTGAATCTGCTCCGCTACACTATCCAAGCACGTGTTAACAATACGTGTTAACCCCGAGAGGGTGTTTACTAAATATATACTAATCCAAAATAATACTCAATGCCTATAAGATCCTACGTGGAGACTCGTGGGGTCCCGGGACCCCGTGGGACTCAACGTGGGTCCGCCTCTGAATGTAGCATGACCCTTTCTCCCTTAAATAGGGCATGGGAGCTGAGACAAATCATATGGTCCGTACAAAAACATAACTTAAATACGTTGTGGAGGTCGAAACAAATCCGTGAACTCACCTGTTCCTTACCAGCATCCTTTAATAATCTCTGGCTGCTGAATCCCTTGCTCCTGCCGCCGCTGCCTTGCCGCCGCCACTAACATCCATAAGATTCTCCCCGATGTCCAAATCCCTGTAGTCGACAACCATTTTTTTAACTCTTGACAAAAAATGGACTCAATAATCCAACATGTTTCTTATATGAGACCAGTGTACAATATTAAGTTTTCATTAGGAATTTTTTTGACTAAACCAAAAAGGACCCGCTAATATAGGTTAAGTGTAATCAAATATAAACTCGTCGTGCTAAAGCAAATTTTTTAATAGAATCATGCTCCATATATATTTTAAAATAAAATATAATATGATAAAAGTAATGTTATAATACTACATAGTATTACATAGCATTATTATTCCTATTGTTTTTCTATTGCATTAACTTTTATTTCTAAATGCGTTTTTAATAAAAAAACATATTGTTATCTCACTTTTTTTATAACTTATATACATACAGACATACATACATACATAGATATATATATATATATATATATCTCCTAATATATAAATATATAATATAAATAATATAAGCCTCTAAAGGGGTTACGCTCGCTCTTTTGCCGTTTATTTCCTAACATTTACACTGTTCACCGTTTCTTTCTCCGTCTGTGACTACTCCACACGAACGACAAATGCTACTGGCCTCCTTCACCGCCCAGCGCCCCACGATGTCTCCTTTCTCTCTTTCACTCTAGGGTGTTACATCCTTTTTTCCTTCACTCTAGGGTTTCCTTTCTCTCTTTCATTCTGGTGTTTCCATAAGACTTTCATATCCATTCACGAGGTATTTCACTCTTTCCTCTTACATCTTAATATCCTCATACCTCAAACTCTTCAAAAACAAAGGTATGCAATTGAATTAACAAAAGTGGGAAATTTGAAGTTTATACCCCCAATTACGAAAACGGAAAGCTCAAGTGCATTTGTCAATTATCCAGTGCATTCCTCACAAGAGGCATATTGGTATCCTACTTTCTGGATTCCAATTTTTTTCATAAGCACTCATAAATTAGGATTTAGATGCTTATATGCAATTCAAAGACATCATCTCCTCTGTTGGGCTCTTCTGCATATTCCCCAATAACAATTTCCCAAAAAAAATTGTTTATCTAATACCTAAATGCTAAATCAGAGGTGTTATAGATTTTTAATTATGACTTTTACTTTTAGATGTTCTCTTCTATAGTTTTGAAGATTTGAAATGCTCAGTGTGCATAAACTGCATATAATAAATTTATTTCCTTTTTCTTGGTTTGGATTCATAGGTAGAAGTGTGCTTAAGATATATGGAATATCATGCACTAACAAAAACTAAATCCAAATTTGATTTTGAAACTTTAAGAGCTGATTTTTGAAGTGAATCAGACTTGGAATATGATTTTCAACCCCAAAGAGAAATTTTAGAACATGGTTTGAGAAAGAAACTGAAATTGTACTTGATTTCCAAGAGACAAGTGAACTATTAGAAGCTTATTTTGAAACAAAAAATTATTGTGAAGTTTATTTTTATGGAAAAACAGAAACTTTCGGAGCTTTTGTCGAAACTTTTAAAGACTGAGATTCATGAGAAATTTGGTATTTTAGGGTCTGATTTTCAAAGAGAGGTCTGGTTTTAGAGTTAATTTCCAACACAAAACTGAAGCTCTAGGGGGTGATTTTTAAAAGAAACCCGAATTGGCACTATTTGATGGTAATCCTGGATTGACTCTGTTATTTTGGAACCTAACTTTTAACTTATAACATTTTTCGATTCCTTCGAGTTTCTCTCAACATCCAATTATGTGTTTCCAACCCAAGAGAACATAGCTTAAATATGCACCATATATTTGTACACATATTCCTTAATGTGTGAAGTGTGAACTGTAATTAACCAAATACTTTAACCTGATAGAGTTATTCCCCAGGAAAGCACATACACTTTTTACATGACCTATGTAGTAAGTATCTAAAAAAAACTCATAAAAATTGAAATTCACAAAAAAATGAAAAGGGAATAGCATATTTTTTTCTTAAAAAGAGATAGAGAAGATGAGGAAAGGAAGAACCTGCAATGTTCCTTAGCTGGGTAGATCCCACCTGGATGAATGGGTCTGAATTTGTGCCTCCAATCTTCTCTGGGCTTCAATGGCTTTGGGCTGGAGTTAATGACTGATAGATAATAATTTCCCACTAAATTTGTTTATGTAATACATAAACCAGCGGTGTCATACATTTTGAATTTTGACTTTTATTTTAATTCCCTTATACTATTCTCAACTCAAGCACCAATTTATACATCTATTTTGACTTCTCTAACACTATTTGCATACCTTATTCAAAATAAGTTTCCAATGAGCTCTGAAAATGTAGTTTTAGTCCTATGGGATTCATAGGTGGAGAGGTGTTCTCTCCTATACTCTTGATGAATTGAAATACTCAGTGTGCATATAAATTCATTTCCTTTTCCTTGGTTTGGATTCATAAGTAGAAGTGTGCTTAAGATATATGGAATATCATGCGCTATTATTCCAGTCTAAATTTTTAAGTACACAGATTTTAGTGAAAATTGTAGTCTTTCTTACTCCATATGATTACATAGGAGTATATGAGGTAGAGTTAGCGTAAGCTCCTTCTTAGCGTCATCTCATTCTAGAAATTGTGCTCAAAATTAAGTAATTTGAAGGTTACAACTTCTATACCAATTCGGTCGATCTGGAATGGATCTGTTAAACTTTGGTAGATTACACAATAAGTTTGGACACTCACACACAAAGTGTGTGTCCATGCTAGTATATATATATATATATATATATATATATATATATATATATATATATATATATATATATATTGTTTCTTTAGTTTTTATTGTAAAACTAAAAGTGATAGTTTGAATTGAAGTATTTAAAAAAATTGATAACATGTTAGATTAATTCAAACTCAATGACACTAGACTATAAATATACAGTTCTAAATTAAAATCCAATAATATCAAATACTCTGTAACCTAAACTTGATGTAATTAAACCTGAAATTGATCTGAAAGACCTATTTACTAGTTCTAGTTCTTGTAATGGGCATATAAATTTGAATTTCAAATCTGGATTTGGCTCAAATTATTTGTTTGAAAAACTTAACAAATTTGGATTTGGAATTGAGTCAAAATTTTCTCATTCATAACAAAACACGATTTGAAATCTATACAACTCTCATTGTCATTTAAATTTAAAATTTCAAATTTTAGAATCAAAATTCATAAATTGAAAGTGAACTCCTAAAACTTCAGAAAAGGTTGGGCTGATTAAAAGAAAGGATGTCCCAGTCCAAAAAAGGTTTAATATTTCCGATCCGGCCCGTTAAAGCCCAATTTCTTGCTCTCATTCCCCTCGTTTGGATTCCCGACTTCCGGTTTCCACGATTCCCCTTTCCCGTAGCGACCCCAGGTCTCCGGCGAGCGAGTCAGACAGATTCCTCCGCAGACAGCGTCTCCTCCACAGGCCTCATCCCTCAGCGCCGCCCTCCAGTCTAGCATCAGGCAGGCAGCGGCGCCGCAGCATCCACCCCCTCCAGGTAATGTAAATATTCTTTTCTGCGTATCTTCATGTTCTTAATGAGCTTATAATCGAAGTTTATTTTCCCAGGTTGTAGATTACTTTTGCCCTAAATATTGTTATGTGAAATTATATTAATATGAATTGGGGAATGAAATTGTTAAGTGAAACAATTTAAAATTAAGAGAATATAACCTGAGTACCAAATCTGGAGCTAAATCCATTATTCTGAACAAAACCACTTCAATCCC